ACAGAGTATCAAAGTCAGTCTGGCCTAGTCAATATTTAACCACTAGAGAATTATGCTGGTTCCTTACAATAGTACCAATACATACATATTATTTATAGGTGATAATATTTATCATTGTCCGTTTACTAGCATATGTCATATATTTTCACTTTGTATAACAAATAATGAAATTGAATCATTATCAAAAGCCGCAAGCTTGCTTAGTTGTTCAGAAAAAAAAAGTTTTCTAATAGCTGGAAATGAAAAATATACACAAAAATTAAGAAAAAAATTTAATAAAATGAAGGTATTTAATTTTTTTAGAAAATTCTATTTTCACCCGAGTTAAGATAACCTAATATAGTATTAGTAATATTTCAGATAACTTTAATCTGAGTGAAAAATAGAATTTCTCTTTTTGTAGAATTATTAATAGCGAATAATTGTTAATTACTTTTTTATATACCAAAAGTCGATAACCATCTTATTCTGTTCGTAGTTAATAGGCAAAATATTCAAAAAATATTTGCAACAATTATCAACTATAAAGATTTCAGCAACCTTGTTCATATAGACCCAACCAATCCTCTTTTTCAGAGATCATGGATTTTTCTAACCCCCCATCATTGCTATACAAAATATTCCCCAAGAAATTATTAAATATTCTAAGTAACATTGAGACATTTGTTTTTGATGATAATACTCGTAAGTATCTTGAATCACTAATAAGTAGTGGAAACATCGAAAGACTAATAGAAAACAAGATATCTGCTATGACATGGATGTGTGTATTCAAACAATAAAATTTTGGTATATAATTTATTAAAAAGTGGTCACAAAAATATCTACAAAATGATACACAGCAAATTTTTATGTATTTTAAGAATTGCAAAATTATTTTTAGATTTGGTTTAAACGAATGCTTATTATCATTAACGACTCAAACAAATGCAAAAATCTGTAACTATTCGTTTAAACACAAACTGTGAATAGCTATTTCCAAATTTTTTTTGTGACCACTATACCTTTATAAGCTCATTATTATTATCTTTTTTTTTTTTACATTTTTTTATAATTTTGATCTTTTTTTTTGTTTACTATATGTTATAGGCAACATATTTGGAAGCAAAATAAATATAATAATCCACAACTCAATATTAATGAATCAACGTACACGAGTGATATGTTCACTTCAGTTATTCAGAGTTTGTGTATGGAAGATATAGATCTTATTATGTTCTAGTATATTTTGTATAATAATATTTATTATTATATATTTTGTTTAAAATATTTATTTATTTATTTATTTTTTAAAGTAGAGAATTCGAAACAACTAGCTCTCATCATCGTAGACAAGGATTATATAAAGGTTCGAACATAGATTTTATCTCATCACAATCTGAACTTAATTTTAATGCTGATGATGTTACTATAGATAAGTCAAAAAGAGAGCACAAAATAGATAGTGCGGTTGGTATGCGTCTACTAAGACAAAATCTAATTGTATTTTTGGTGGTTGAATTTAAAAAGCCAGGTGTGGATTCTGGAAATGATAAAAAAAAACAGTTGCAAGAACAATGTGATGAAATAAATGAAATATTTTGTTTTTATAAAGATCAATTTAAAAAAAACTCTTACCAAAGAGTTACTTAAACAAATTCATGAATTATATATTATCAGCACAAGAATTTTAGACATGTATTTATGACTAAGCACCATAGTTGTGAAATAAATTATATCTTATATGGTATAGGTGGTAGTAGAATTCAAAAATGACATTATTACTGATTGTTAAAATTTTCTTTTTTGAATTCTACTGCTATCTATAGGCTTTATTTTGCAAGATATAGTAATATATAATACAGAACATTTTTCCATTGCATTAAAAAAATCTATTAATATGCTTTGCTAAAAATATAGACGATCAATTAGATATAACTGTTTATGATATTTCAGGCAGCTTGTTGGGTCATTGCCACCTGTTAAAACGAAGTATATATATGCTATTGAAAGATCAATTAAAACATCACACCATAGATTATATCGAATTACTGATGGCAATTAAGGTATAAATTTTTAATTAGTGTTCTATAATTTGTTTGTATGTACTTTGATATTAATTGAATCTGCTTAATAGATGCTATTAAAAGATTTGAAATCTCAATTTCAAGGTGTTGAAAAAACTTTGAGTAAGATAATTAACAATGGTAATAAGGATAATAATGTAAAAATATCTGTATATAATGGTACTATTGTAAGGAACCAGCATAATTCTCTAGTGGTTAAATATTGACTAGGCCAGACTGACTTTGATACTCTGT